CCAGCAGAATAACAAAAGCCCAGCTCAGCTCTTGCTCCTGACACAACTCACTGCACTCCACAAAACACCCTGCACAGCCACTTCCTTCCTCTGGCTGCATCGAAGAACAGAGATCATGCTCTGCTTGAACAGGTCACAGAGAGCAGGAATCTGAGTCCAGTATAACGGGTTTCAAAACCCTGATCCTCTCCTACCTGGGTTGATTTGCCAGTATTCAGACTCATAACTTTTCCATTTAACCATCCAATGCCAGAAACAGACAAATTCCAGGAGCAGCTTACCCTGGGCAAGGGATCTACATGTCAAGGTTGGTTGAAGAAGATGCCCAAACACTGGCCATCAACCATGAAAAGAAATCCCTCATACTGCCTGGTAAGGACTTCTGCATGCAGCAGATACAGCAGCATTATTAAGGTACACATCAACGCTCACTGGCAAGAGCAGGAAACACTTCCTCTTACTCCATCCAGACCTGCAAATGCAGAGGAATTTAAAAAGACAAAAAGGAATCCTAGGGAACGGGTCTGACCTTGCTGCTCTCCACAGCCTGGTGGGGAAGGAAGGGTGGCAGGAAAGGAAGAACCCGGAGTTCTGCTCGTGTGCTCAGTTCACATTCTTTTGAAACAGACTTCAAAGCCTACCCAATACTTACAATAAGATGGGAAGCAGTGAACTAACCTGGAGGAGTTTCCAGGCAGAAGCACGGGAGGAAACAAGCAACAGAACTCTTGATTTTCAAGGTCCACCATTTGCTTTGGAACGAAATGTCTCCCTGTTACTTTGGCTCACGCTTATCAGGCAGCCAATGGATGCAGACACCCCACCCACACTCAACTTAATTGGAATCAGACATCCACATCCACTGGTTAGCTTTTAAAAATCTCTCCCAGGTTAGCCTGGGTGTTATTCCACAAGGGCATGCCCTCCATTCGCTGCTCTGGAGCAGCCAGCTTCACTGGGGTTCAACCAGCAGCCACTCAAATGAAAAGAGAGATGTTGACACTGTTGTTTTTTGCCCAAGAAGGAGGAACAGATGTGCACAACTGCACCTCTTACAGCCCATGTGCCTGGCCAGACAGGAAACCAGCTACTCCACACACAGGGTACACACAGTTTGCAGATAGACACTGGAGTGCAGAGATGCCAGAACCAGTTACCAGTTCTGAACTGTCCTCTGTTACAATGAAATCCATGTGACAAAACCGTCAATACTCAGCATCACCATCTGATTTCCTTTATCAAATAAAGCCCTTTTGCTGTTTTGTGATGAAAGGGTCACCAGAAGACCGTACCCAACCCACACAGACTCGATTTTAACTTCATTTAACAGCCACTGAAGAGGAAGGATACAGACTACAGTCAGCAGGTCACATCCACAATGCCAATGAAATTGTGACACCGAATACTACTACAAGGAGCTGCAGCTTGTTGACTTGCCAGAGCAATTCCCAGCCACATCCATTACACCCTTATAGTAAGTGCTGGGAAGAACAGGGACCTCAGTCCCACTCTGGACAAACCCGAGCACAAAAACCCCAGTGGTCACCTCACAACTATAAACTCTGACTGAAGCTTTATCTGCCTCCGTTTCCTACGTGGGTTTGTAGGACAAAGCACCCACATTTCTATACTAATAAATCACACACAGATACTTCCATGGCCACGGAGCTGCTTCATGGACCGAGGCTGCTGTCCTTTCCCTCTTCAGGTTTATTTTGTTCTTTAAGTAAATCCCCAAGGCAGAGGGGTGAGGGAGGGAATTGCTTACAACTGAGAATATCTACTGAACATGCTAAATTTGATAAGGCTTCTCCACCTAATACAGCAGATACCGTCAGAACTGACAGGCTATGTATATTAAAGTCACATTACTGTAGTCTTCAGTATTCAAAAGGAGATACAAAACTACTACCCCGGCACCGCTGCTTTTTAAGGATTTTTAAGTCAGCAGAGTTATAAATGCTCAACTGTTACAAAGCGCCTTCCAGCACTTGGAAGCAAGACAGATTCTTATCAAGGAACAGCAGCCAAGAGAAAGCATACGGCTATTCTTTTCATCTCGCTGGTAGCCATACACCAGAACCTCAACAAGTTCAACCCCTGCAGCAAGTTTCCTAAAACAATGGCTGCAAGTGCTCCCGGACTTCAGGAGCAGAGCAGGATTACAAACCCTGGCGTCACCCACCCGAGGCAATCACCCAGGATATTCTGGGAGGGTCATTCCGAGAAAATCAGGGAAGAATGCTCCACTCTTACAACCTGCCACTTCTTGCTCAGGAACCAATTTGCATCACCAGAGAGGTGTCAAATCATGGAGATGCAGTTTAAAAAGCCCCAAAGAAAGCCTTTTACTGGGCTGCCGTTTGAAAGGGGAAGGCTCGCCAATTAAAGTGAATCAGAAAGGGGGGGAAGGAGCGAGCAGGGATTCTTGTGTGTGCACAAATAAGCGAGCGTGACCCTGCAGGCACAGCGAGCATGTGAGCTGGCAAGGGAGCCCGGGAACTGCTGCCCACTGAAGAGTTAATCCTGCCGAGGCAGGTCAAAAGGGCTCCTGAAGGAAGGGGATGGGATGGATGGAGGGAAGCCTGCCAGAAGGTCTGTCTGCACAAGAAGGGGGAAGGTGCCCCAGCCTTGCCTCTACCTCAGCACCCAGTCACTGCCAGGAAGGTGACAGAAAAAACCCAATCCCCATTTTGCTGAACACACCAGGAAGGAAGACCAGGAAAAATATCTCCCCTTGCACCCAGCGAAAGACACAGACATTTCATTAAATGCCATTAATCTCCACAGACCCGAGCATTCGCTGGTTAATTAGACTAAAGCACAGTCACACTTGAACACTGAGCATTCGCTATTCAACTGGGATGAAGGAACAAGTCCAAAACCTTAATTCAGTATCTAATTAAAAAAACAGAAAACAAGAAAATGCAGATGATGAAATGCTGCCCAGGATAACGTCACAACTGATACCAATCTGCTCTTTATTGTAGCTGATTTTCTCCAGTTTCCTAATAAGGCTCCTTCCAATCTTCAGCTTTTCTTTCAAGAGCCCATAGAAATCCTGACACTTTGGGAAGGAGGAGACGTGTGTAAAAAGCAGAAGCAGATCCTGATGACCTCTCCAGAGAGCGAGTCCCTGCTAAGAGTGGAATCCAGCCTGCGTTCCAGCGTTTGCCCCATGCTTGAAAGAGGTCTGTTACCAAAAGAAACAACCACCACCAAAAAAAAAAAACCCTACGTGGAGAAAAACAAACTCCCCTTTGTAAAACTGACCTGGTTTTGCATTTACACGGAAATTTAACTCGCTAATATCCTCGGCATAAGACATGCCCTGCTTTTTTTAATTGTTATAGAAGAAATCACACGGGGCAGCTTAACAGCTCTGCTCCAAGTTCTAAACTTGTGCAAAGAACACTGCAGAAACAGATAACCGGTAATTGAAGACAGTTTAAAATGTAAATAAGGCTTTAAAAGGTATTGGGAAGGGGGAAAGGAACATCAGTCACAGCACAAGATCATCTTCATACTTCCATTGTGAAACCCTTCAAAATCCTGGTAACTTGGAATTGTATTTTAAAGGCAGCATTAATCCAACAGCAGAATCCACAAGCCACAAACCCTACAAACAAGAAACAATTTGCTAGCACAGAAGCAAGCCAGGCACGTCATTACTCACTAAGTAGTTATTAGATATGGCCTATGAGGAAAAGAACCTCTAAATATTTGACTACATTAGTTTGGTTTCAAATTCTGCAAGTAGAATGCTGGGGTTTATCTCATTTTTTTCTTCTTTTAAAGAAATCACTAGCACCTCTCCTGCTACACACCCAGGGGTTTAAATTACACACTAGCTGTGTGCTCTGTACAGTATTTAACATTATGGTTCCACATGCTATTAAACTGCTTGCTTTCCTGAGGAGCTATCTGCAATAAAATTGTTGGGTTGACTTGTTCAGGTGTCTCCTGCCACCAACTTTAAAGCACTTTTCCTTACTGACTTGCATCTGCAGCTTTGCAGCCTTGCCCTTCCATTTTTAGGGGAATACTGAGCTAGCCCAAGCTGATCAGTGGATACAAGCGACACACACCAGCTGAACCAACTCTCAAAAAACAAACACAAAAGAAAATGTCAATTACAAAAGTTTTCTTTCAGCCTCTGGCTTTCCAAATTCAAATACAACCGGCTGCACATGTGGATTTAAAACGGATCTGCTGGTTTTGTTAGGCACAGCCTGAAGAGCAACAACCACTTCTAGTCCATAAGCAGCTCCTCCAGCAGAAATGGCACCAGCGACGTGTCAGAGTAAGCACACGCAGACACAAAGTTCCTCTGCACATCACTACACTGCCTTTGTCCCAGCGTGGAAGCTGGCTGCACTATCACAAGTCCCCTGGAAGGAGGAGGTCACTCCTCCAGCCAGCCTCATCGGCTGGAGACATAAAGCTCATTGTTTCACTGTTCTTGCAAAAGAATACCCCGTGGCCTGAAGAGTTCAGCGCTTCACCAGCAACTTGCTACCCAACGCTTATTAGTCTCCAAGCACATCTCTGAAGTTATACAAAAGGAAATTTGCAAACAATGAAGGCAGAGATATATTCCCATCCATCACAACCACAGAACTGAAAGCTCAGCTCAAAACACGCCTGAAGTCTGCACTTAATCCGACTGCTCTTCATAAACACCAGGCAAAACACATTGCGTAAAACAGCATAACAAACGCGAGTAATGCAGCAACAATCTCCCACCACCACGGGAGAAGCCTCCCCTCCTCAGCCAGCCACGACCGGCCGGGGCTCCGCACGGAGACAGTTAAACTGGAGACACGTAACAGTGCACAAAGCAGCTCTCCTGGAGTTTCACAGCCATACGCTGATACCCTTAAGACGCCATGCACCGGCTTTAAAAGCTTTCATTGCCAATTCCCTGTGTGAAACCTGAACTGCCTGGCAACAATGATTCTCTGTGTGCCTAAAATCCTATTATCGATCCTCCTACTTACCTTAGGCTGTGCTCGTCGGGGAAATGCAACTTTAGGGTCAATCTGAGGAAAAAGAAAGGGGAAATCAACAAGATAGCTTTTGTTGTCAGTTCATATTATTTTGTTTTTAAATCACTGAATTATTAATCCCTCATTTCTCAGGCTTATCATTCAGCACACCGGCTCACATCCAGAACTGCTCTGGAACAGGAGACAGGAAGAGTGGAAGAAAACATCTCTTCTGTACACCTCCTCCATCATCTTCTAGGCAACAACCTCTACTGGTGCTCAGGGAGCTCCCTCTTAGTCTCTAGGTGATGCCTCTACAACCAAAACTGTGTGTTAACCCTTATCTGCATGCTCTGGAGGCCGCACAGATATGGCCAGCACGCCTGATCAGATCTTCACCTGCTGTTCCTGACACCTGCACCTTCCTTCAGTTGGGTTTGGGGTTGCTTTTTCTTCTCTGCTTTGTTTTGTCAACTGACTTGGCAACACCACACAAAGAGAGAAATGCAGAACACAAAGCCAATTCACATTTCAACTGCTAAAACTAAAACGTTAGAAGGACTACGAGGTTATCCTTGTCAAAAATACGCCAAATTGAGCTGGTTTGCTCCCCCTCAAAGAATACATGTGAGCAATAAAAATGACAAAGGGGCATTTATGGGAAAGGGTGGGCAGAGGAGAGCAAGGCACATAAAATGTACAAGTGTTTTAAACCAGAGAAACCAAGTTCTTAATTATTTTCCATGAAGGAATTACCTGGAGTATTCGCCAGTGAAGCACAGCACCACAGAGACAAAAAAGAAGAAAAAATACCCTTGGTTTAGCCCCTGCTCCCTTGTTCTAAGGTGCAGCACTGACTCCCATTCCAAAGCGAGCCCAAATGCTAATTCTGCAGTTTTAAAAACAACTTCCACATGGGTCATGTTCAGAAAGTGGCTCCTCTCTACCACTCAAAAATCACTTAAGAACAAAAAGACACCACCGCAGAGGCATGGCTGGAGGGCAAGAAAAACCTTTCCAGCAACTGCCCAGCCTCAATTGTCATCTGTAAAAATGACTGCAATAAAACGTCTCTGTGCTGCTGATTTTACCTCTGGTTTTAGCAGCATCTGCACACAGGCATCTTCTAAATAAAGAATGTGGAAAAAGAGGTTTTAAAGGTCTAAATCCTACCTTAACTGTGCTACCTGCAACTGCTTTCAGTGTTTTGACTATAACACGCTGATGAACCTAATCCTGCTTGTGTTAAGGCATATTCTGAAGCAGAGGCTTTCATTAGTAGCTTGGGTTTGGTTTTTGTAAGGTTTCCCCCCCTCAAGCTAACCCTGATCAGGAAAAGGAGCCGTTTCCATTTGGTATTGTTATTGCTGTGGTGACATGTATTCCTGTCACTGATCAGTAACCACGAGACTCTCCTAAAAAGCAGTTTTACTCAATTAATTTGTCAAAATTGGAAATACCACAAACATTCGATGCGCAACTGATAAAGTGATTCACCTGCATCAGATACAAATGCAGTGGCTATTTTTAGGACACACCTGAGAAATGAGCGATTGCATGCCACTTTATTGTTCAAAAAGCATCAAAAGTAAAATTATTTCTCTAGAAAGCTAACCTTTTCAGAGAGATTAACATTATCTACAAATATATTCAGCACTGACTAGGCATTTGTCTACTGGGGAAATACAACAGGTACGGATTTTCCACAGCAATACCCAAATGTGGAGGCAAATGCGCACGTTTCTACATTTGCTTCTTCAAAAGCCAAAGTCTTCCCAGCAAAGAGCCCCAGTCCCACCAGAAGGGCATCACTGCAGCGTCCCGCTGGGAAGAAGTTGGAAGGGGCCATTAAACTCAAAAGCAACACATTCATTTTTGAAGGTCAGTTCAAAGAGCATGGAGTTCTTTGCACCACAGCGACAGCCCTGCTTAAATAACTGGATTTTCCTTCACAAAACCTTTTGGATAAGCACCGGTGGGGCTGGAAGAGGAGCAGTAGCCATGGACACGGGAAATCCATACCTTTTGCATATCCCTGTCAACTATTTAAAGAACAACCAAAATAAAAGAAACAAACTTCTACCAAAAAAATAATTAGTTAGTTAGGTACAACTCTACTTACTGTATCTACAAGTCCTCTAGGAATGACTCTAATACTATTTCTGATAGGAATGGCCATTACCTAAACAAAGCTTTTAACGTAACTGTAAACAAGAGCGACGTTTCCATGCCAATACCCAACCGATCTGCCTCCTGTGCTGAACGTTGAAACAGAGTCAAATGCTATGTTATGCTAAAGAACAGTTACTACAATATGTCTACACACACAGGGCTGAAGGGGAAACCTGCCTAGCTCTGGATCGTACTTTGAAGCTGCTTTACTGATTCCGAGGTTAATTTCTGATCCAGATTAATTCAATCATTACCACACAATCAAAACGGAGGCACATTTGCCCTGGCGAAGCTTCTCACCCCTCCCCCAGAGCTGAGCAAATTAATACATTGCAGGGACGAGACTGTGCTACAGGAAAAAGCTGGGGGAGGACCTAATTATAGTCAGAAATATGACAGGGTGTCCTCCCAGGATTTGGTTTTTTAAGAACCCTCGTTCAAGACACTGTTTGCCTTTGTTCTTCTTATCTAAAATTAGCTTTAAAAACACATAGAGAACAGAGCTCTACACGAGAAGTCTGGGGAGTTTAATCTCAGGGAGCACAGTTGAATCAGTTATCTTACCATATCTGATTAAACCTAAAACCAAATCATTTAGGCATGTGCAAGCATGGGCTACATGTTTAGACAAGCCCAGCAGAATTTGCAGGTCGAATTAAAACACGAGATTCCACCTGCTTCTATGAGAGCTTTGGGCTTTTTGTTCCCATATAAATTACGTTTGGAAAAAGTCACACACTCGTGTTTGCTCCCTGCTTTGTCTCTCCCTCGTTTCACCGCAATCTCGCACACACAGGCACACACAAGACGTTCCAGCACCGAGTCAGGATTCCTCCTAGCACCATGCTCACGTTAAATCAAACCTTCAAGATCCAGCACGCACACTACAAAAGACAGCGACAGCAATGAGCACACTCGGTACGTCCAGCAGCAGCTCTGCCAGACACAGTTCCACCAACACCATCCTTCCCTTCCCTTCCCGAACCAGCCCCCTCCAGACCGACCAGCACCAAAGCGATAATGACCTCTACCAGTGTCCTTCCCTCCTCCCCTCCCAGGTTTGCTGAGACTTTACACGGCAACACAGTAAGAGGCACAAAACTTCATTCTTTGTGCATGGCCTTGATGGCAGGGACAAAACAGGGCCTAGAGCTACACACGCCCCATACGGCATTTTCAGTGTCAGGTCAAATATAAAGTATCAGGTCAAGGGGGGAAAATGCATGTATAGGGGTTTTATTGAAAAAAGTGAATAAAAACAAGCGCAATGCTCATTAAAAAAAAAAAGAGCTGAGCTGAATCCCAGGAGCATATTCCTTATGTCACCCACTGGAGACTGAGCACAGCAAAGAGCTCGGGAGAAACAACAACAAACGAGGACTTGTGCTTTTCCACCGCATCCACGCCGGAGCACTCAGAGCCTCCCACCGACGGACATCCACGTTTCCCTAGGGCCCCGGCAACACAGGTGAGGGGGCTCCTGCCAAAAAATGACTTTGGGAAACGGCACGGGAAGCAGCTCCCGGGATCTAGCAGCAAGGCACTCCCACCTTGACACACGCGCACCGAGAGAGGAATAATCAATGGACAGAAGCGGAGAGTTCCCTGCAGAAAGCATTCTGCGCCGGAACACCGACAAAAAAGTTGGGTTTTACTCCACGATGTTTTCAATGTCACCGCTCGATGCAACCCGCGGCCGGGGGAGGAGCCACCGGGCGGTGGGGGGAGAACTGGCATTGAAAAATAAACCAAAGTTACCGCTTTCGGTGAGTTAAAGGCAGAGCCTGGGGAAAAACCAGGGCAAACGCGGCCATGCCAAGTCCCCGCTCAATGACAGCTTGACGCCGCCCCGCAGAGAAACCCAGCCGAAGCCGCAGCCGCGGCCGAGGGCAGGGTCCCTGTAACGTCGCCTGCCGCCCTGTCACCGTGTCGCCCTGACGCCGCGGACGAGGGGCGGGCGGGCAGCCCCACGCACGGACCTACCGTCTTAGAGTCCAGCTCGTGGTGGGGCTGAGCCAGGACTTTGTCTACACTCGCCGGATCCGCGAACGTAACGAACCCGAAGCCTCTGCGAGAGACAAAGAGCGAGGGGATGGGGGCTGATGAGAACCAGAGCCTGGGGGAGAAGCCACAAACCCACCGCGCTGCCGTCCCGTGTGTCGTCCCGTCCCGCCGCACCCCCCCCCCCCCCGGCCGCTCTCCGCCTCCACCGGCCGCTTTGTTCCCTTCCTCCCGGCTCGGAGGGACGCGGCGCAGGGGAAGCTCCCGCGGGCCACGCGTGAGGGGCAGCGGAGGGGAGCGGGGGGCCGGGGTCCGCCCGGCCCGACGGCAACTCGCGAAGTTTGCGAGCGCGGCGGCGGCGTTACCTGGAGCGCTTGGTGGTGGGGTCCCGCATGACCATGCACTCCCGGATCTCCCCGAACTTGCTGAAATAATCTCTAAGGCTGTCTGCGGAGAGAGACAGAGAAGCCGAGAGGCAGCGGAGGCAATGAAGGGGGGGCTGGGGGGGGGGGCAGGCCCCGGCGCGGCGGGACGCGGCCCACGCGGGGCGGGACGCGCGGTGAGGGGCGCGGGGGGCCGGCGGCCCGTACCTGGTGAGGTTTGCCAGCTGAGGCCGCCGATGAACATCTTGCTGGAGGGAGACAAGAGAGCGGAGTTGAGCGCCGGTGCGGGATCGGCCATTTTGACGGGGCACCTCACGGCGGCGCGGCGCGGGGCGGGGGGTGAGGGGTGAAGGGAAGAGGCGGGGGGGGGGGGGGGGGGAACGGCCGGTGCTGGGCTCTCCGCCCCGAGACTTACCCGGGGTCGTGCTGCGCCTCGCCGGGGCTCCCCGAGGTAGCCTGGCTGCCGTCCGCCTCCATGGCCGCGCCGAGCGAGACCCCCTCAGAGGACCCCCCCCGCCCGCCCAACCCGCCCCCCCCCGGCCCGGCTCCTGTTGGGGCTCGGCTCGCTCCGGTTGCCTTTCCTCTTCCTTCCCTTCCCTTCCCCCCTCCTCCTCCCTCCGCTACCGGAGGATCTCACTGGAGAGGCGCTGGGGCAGCAGCCAGATCCGTCACACGTGGGATGGGATGGGATGGGATGGGATGGGATCGGCTTAGCTCAGCGCCGCGCCGGGCCGCCTCCCCCCGCCGCCATCTCCCCTCCCTCCCCCCCTCCCTCCCCTCCCCTCAGCCCCTCCTTCCCCGCGCGCGCGAGGGGAGGGGGGGCGGAGCCCGCCGCCGTCGCGTGGCCCGGCCGTGACGTCACCGCCGCGCGCGCGCCCCGCGGCACCGGGCTCGCTCCCGCCCCGTTTCCCTTTCCCTTTCCCGGCCCGCAGCGCTGATGCCCGTGAGGTAACACAGGGAACACCCCCCTGGAGCGGAGCCCCAGTGTCACCGCATCCCTGCGCCTGGGGCTCCTGCTTCCCGGTACCCCCGCATCCCGTGTTACCGCATCGCATCCCGGTACCCCCGCGTCCCGTGTTACCCCATCCCGGTACCCCCGCGTCCCGTGTTACCGCACCCCGGTACCCCCGCGTCCCGTGTTACCGCACCCCGGTACCCCCGCGTCCCGTGTTACCGCACCCCGGTACCCCCGCGTCCCGTGTTACCGCACCCCGGTACCCCCGCGTCCCGTGTTACCGCACCCCGGTACCCCCGCGTCCCGTGTTACCGCACCCCGGTACCCCCGCGTCCCGTGTTACCCCATCCCGGTACCCCCGCGTCCCGTGTTACCCCATCGCACCCCGGTACCCCCCCATCCCTACTCCAGCTGGGACAGGAACTAACCAGGCCCTGACCCCCCGCGGGGCAAGCAGCACCAGTGTGCAAAATAAATGGATGGGGTTGTTACAGAAGAGCCTTTTCCTTCCCTCCTGTCGATCTTGGCTATTTCTCCATACAATCACCAAGCAATTTTAAGTGAAAAGTGCAGTTCCCAGGCTTCCCATCACCCCTTCAGTCCCTCTGCCTTCCTGGGCTCAGGAAGCACGAGGCAGGTTTGGCTGCTGGAAGGAGGGAACTCCCGTGACAAGAAAATGTGGGTTTCTCTCTTACAACCCAGTCGGCACTGCTGTCCCTCCCGTCAGCGAGCAGTAAAGGGCAGATGGCTCTTGAAGGACTCTATTGGCACTTCCTCTTTTCCGCCTTTCCCAGCGCCACGGCCGGGTTGGGGCAGGTGAGCAGTTCCAACCTGTGCAGTCGTTTTCCCTGTTTCCCCTGCACATGCAGCTGAGATTCACCAATCTGGCTCCAGGTTTGGTGTTTGGTTTTGCACTGGGTGAGGTTTACAAACCTTAAATGATGGAGGTATATAAAGGTGGAAACCCCACTAGGGACTGGCTGTGAGGAACCCAGGGGCAGCGCAGGCAGGACAGGGGGTGTAGAGTTCTCCCCTCTCCTCCAGATGCCCAGGAACCAGTTCTGCTTCCCGAGAACACAGTGTGCCTGAGGGGAGATGCCGCAGCATTAGATAACAGCCCAATGCAAACCACTGCCCGACTGCATCTGTGGAGCACATGTGATGCTCTGGAACGTCACTACAAACCAGTAAGCCCAGTGCCCTGCTGCTGCAACCTGGACAGCACGCACCCATGACAGGCAGTTAAACCCCAGCTTTATGAGGAGCAAACCCTCTACGGTCAGCACACCCCTAAGAAAGGATCCTACCCCTTTCCCTGTCCCAGCAAGCAAAAGCCATACCCACTTCAGCAGGGATGCTCTGGAGGTGCCTTCAGTGCCTGAAGCCCACAGTGACAAACCAGGACCCACTGTCCTGCTCCTTGGGTACCACCCATCCCTAAAGGTGCTGTTCCAAGCCTCCTCTCCAACCCAGGGAGCACTGGCAGCCTTGCCCCTTGCTCTCCTCTCTCTGACCTGTTCATGCTAAGCCTGAGCTCCCAGCAGACTGTCAGAAGCAGCAAATGAACCCCGAAGCTGGCATGGGTAACTGCTGGTCAGTGGGAACCACCTCCCCAGCCGCACAATTAAAAATGGGAGCAGTTATCCCACCAACAAGCAAAGTTACTGCTGTTAATACAAACCAACCCAAATTCCAGAGGGCAGCTCCATAGACAGCTATTCAGGAACACTATCTATCCACATAATCATACAGCACCTACTTCTCATTAACAACAGATTTCCTTTTGATATATGGCAGGTCTATCCAGGTCAGAGGCTGAGATGCACAGTTTAAGATAAGCATTTATAAAGCCCAAGTGACACATGATTCCAAATGCCATACAAGATGCATGGGTCCTGAGAGCCTGATTCCTGAAATAAACACATCCTGGGCTCCTAAACCAACATGGGGCTTTGGGGAATCCTCTGCTGGGTAAGGAAGCTGGCAGCTGAGGAGGTGTAGGTCCTTGGTACCCACCTTGCAGCCATCAGGACATCCTGTCTCTGCCATGCAGCAATGCTGAATGGCTGCATCTAACTCAGGCTGCCTGGAGGATGAGTTCGTCTGTCTGGTGCTGGAGAAATCTGCATTTATGTTTTGTATGCTCTGTAAATCCAGTGTCATAATAAAAAGGATCTAAATCTTTACTGAATAATTCATTTTTGTGCATAAGGAAGAAATAATAACCTATATTATATTCCATCTATCATTTAGTTCTTGGGATTGATTGGCTGGTGGGTTTTGGAACAACCTGGTGCCTGACAGCACACTGGGGCCTGGCCTCCTGGCACCCAGATACGGCTTCACCTGCAAACATCATTTAGGCAGCATCACAGAGGGGCAATACATGGGGAGCTGCCAGGAGATCAAAGATCATGTGAAATGCAGAACACATCATTGCAAAGAGTTGGTCTTGTTAGTGCATCTCTGCCTTTGGGGTTACCCTCAGTGTCTGCAAGGTACAGGAACATGCTGGGAGATCAAGCTCTGCCTTGGAGGAGATAGAGCACAAAGAAAGGGACCACAGTTTCAGACTTCTCTGAGGGGCCAGGAAAGGCTGGCTAGACACAGAGAACATCTCCAAAGAGCTGGGTGAAGGCTTTCCATGCACCCTAAGCAGTCACAGCAGAGGACAGGCTTTCACACACACAGCACCCAGCAGCTTCCCTGGGATATAAGAAAGCTTCCACAGAACACAGATGTTTCTATTTCGGGCTGCCACCCTTCAATACCCACCTGCATTCCTGAGTGGAGAGCTCTGCCTGTCCCCACACACAGTCAGTCCCTCTCCACTACCAGCTGCTCAATCACTAATCAATTCTCACGACAAAACTACCCTGGAGTCACGTGAAGCAAAACCCCCAAACCCAGCATCAGAGCGCTGCCCATCCATGGGACTTGCAGCTCCCCGAGACCAGGGAAAACCAAGCAAAAGCCACTGGAGTTTGGTTGCACACAAAGGAGTCACTTTAAAACACCCCAGCCAGTGCCCCAACTGAAATAGGTTACCCCAGAACCCATGGGTTTCGGGAAGCAATCCCAATTCACACCTAGGGCAAACGTGGCTCTAGACTTTGGGTAGACACTGTAGTTTTTCCCAGTGCAAGCTCCAGATCTGCATCAAGTTACTTCAGCACCTTGCTAATGAAGATGTCACACTGACCTCATTAAAAACATCGGGATTTTCATCTGAACTGGGAAAATGGCATTTTCCAACTGTTTCAGAAGAATAAAACCCAAACATTATCAGGCCCATCTTTGAGATAAGGGAGGGGGGGAAGCTCTGTGAGGAAAGATTTCAAAGCCTGCTTTGTTTTCATCAGCTTTGAAACCAGCAGACAGCCCTGAGAATTTTGTTTTTCAGAACTGGAGTGTTTAATTCTATTCACGACTTCCAGACAATTCTCTCTATAGATACACCAAAAAAACCCAGCCAGACCCCTTGAAACAAACCCTGCCCTTTCAGATGTGCTTTTCCTCCTGAGGAATTGCAGGATACAGATGAAGTAAGGTAAAAACAAAACAGGGAGGCAAGGCAGGGGAAGAAGAGGTTTGGGCTTGCCCCTGTGCAGCTCTCCTGTGTTAAGGAGACACCTTATGGACCACACATACCTGTAGCTAGATTTATGCCAGGAATGCAGTTTCCTTCCCTCTCCCCAAACAAGGCTCCCTACCTTATTTCTCTACCTGATTGTTACCAAAGGCCTTTAAGACCCTCTGATAAACTGCTCCCCACGTCCAAACCAATATTAGTAACTATGAATCTTCTCCTATAAATAATTTCCAGAAGGAGATCAATGCTACAACGGAGTCAATGGATTCACTGGAATCATTTCTTCCTCTTACTCCGGGATGTTTTTTCCCCTGCCTCCACGAATCAATTATGATGATAAAAGTACCCTGGAACACCCCCAAAATAAAGATAAACAGTGTGCATTATCAGAGGCTGGGGATGTGCACAGCATTGAAGATATGTTACCTTCTCCGTGGCACATTTGTTTTCCTCCACAGACAGTTAAGGGAGGAAGAAAAAGGAGGCACAGTAAATGAATGGTCTGGATGTAACACTGCATTAATTCCCTGACCTTCTGCATTGAGTGACTAAGAATCTCAATCTCAATTATTCCTTTCATGATGGAATCTAAACCAGACACAGCAAGTCCTCACGTTCTTGCTCAAAACGAGGAGAGGTGGAATGAGAGGAGCCAGCCCAATCGCTCGGCACCGAAACCACATTCATTATCAGTTCCATGTCATTCAAACAAATTGACTGCAGGAGAAAGCAAGAGCATCCAAGGAGAATTACTGCAAAACATGCACTGGCAGGATCTGTATAAATACACACATTTAGATATGCATATGCACTTAAAATGCACGAGTCTGAAGCTGAATCAGGGGTAGGAAAAACAAGGCACTCCCTAGAGGGCATCGTCGCTATGAATTTCCATCAGGCACATCAGCACTGATGAAAACACCCTGAAAGGCTGAGGAGCCAGGCTCACTGGGGATGCCCACACATCAGGTGAGTTCACCCCTAACAGGGACCATGTGAGGGAGCCCGTTATGAGATCTGG